TTCCTATCCAAAATACATGATGAATGTTGCGGAGCTCATACAGGGGGAAGATTTCTAGCTCACCGAGCCATATCTCAAGGTTTTTGGTGGCCGTATATGCAGAAGGACACTCAACAGTTTGTTAAGCGATGTGAGAAGTGTCAAAAATTTTCACCAATCCCTAGGAAACCATCCAATGAACTACTTCCTTTAGCGAGCCCATGGTCGTTCGCACAGTGGGGACTAGACATTGTGGGACCTTTACCTTGGGCCTCGGGCAACAAGAAATACCTTCTAGTTGCCACAGATTATTTCACAAAATGGGTTGAAGCCGAAGCATTAGCTAACATTAGAGATACTGACACAAGAAAGTTCATCTGGAAAAACATTATTACCAGGTTCGGCATCCCGCACACTCTTGTTTCTGACAATGGCACGCAGTTCAACAGTGATCCCTTCAAAGCTTTCTGTTAGCAATACGGAATTCGAAACTACTATTCCACTCTGGCGTACCCTCAAAGCAATGGGCAAACGAAGATCACTAATAAGACAATCTTGGATGGGATCAAGCGAGTATTATGAACTTGAGACCTTAGATCATAAGGCCGTACCAAGCCCCTGGAACACTACGAACCTCAGAAAGTTCTATTTCTAAAAAAATATATTTTTAATAGAACTCCGAAGTACCTTTGAAAATTTAAGGGTGCCCCTTAGGCGATGATGTACCAGCAGTGAATGTACCAAATCAAAGTTACATATAAAAATTCAAATATTTTTTTTTCCTACACGTGCTTTGCATTTTATACGTCCTACTGCTAAGGCAGGGAGGCCAAAAACCTGATAGAAGTCAAAAGCTTAAATTAGGCGCAGCCACTCAATCAAATCCAGGCCCTCAGCTAAGCATGACGATGTAAGCTGACTAGGGATGGGTTTGAGTCCAATTAGATTGGCGGGTCGGTGTTGAATAGAAACACTCTTAGATCTCAAGGGGACTTTGAGTTACTCTACTGAGGAATCGAGCTCTTTGAAAAGGGTCGAGCAAAGCCAAGACTTCAAAGAGGCCAGAAATATTTTTTAACTGTAAAAAGGTTCCTGTTAAGGAATCGACCTCTTTGAAAAGGGCCGAGCAAAGGCCCAGACTTCAAAGAGGCCTGAAATATTTTGTAAGTGTAAAAAAGTTCCTGTTAAAGAACCAACCTCTTTGAAAAGGGCCGAGCAAAGGCCAAGACTTCAAAAAGGCCCAAAAATTTTCCAAGTGTAAAAAGGTTCCTGTTGAAGAATCGACCTCTTTGAAAAGGGCCGAGCAAAGGCCAAGACTTCAAAGAGTCCCGAAAAATTTTCTAAGTGTAAAAAGGTTCATGTTAAGGAACCGATCTCTTTGAAAAGGGCCGAACAAAGGCCAAGACTTCAAAGAGGCCCGAAATATTTTTTAAGTATAAAAAGGTTCCTAGCTTTTTCGATAAGGGCCGAGAAGAGGCCAAGACAGCAAAAAAGACCAAAACTTTTTCAAAACATTAGCACGAACTGCAGAACTTGAAAGGCCAAAAGATGTTTTGCATTTATACTTCAAAATTTTTTACAAGAACGTGACCATTGTAACAGGTACATCAAAAATTACAATAACATCAGAGATTTCAAAACATTCAAAAAAGTCTCAAGTGTTTGAAGGAGTAGGTGGAAGAGAGGAGCTAGGAGTCGTATGCTTCAAGAAAAGTTTCGAAGAAGGATCAACCTCGGCAGCTGTCAATGCAGCCAGCCAGCCCCTGTTGAAGAATGCCTCTTGTAGCTGAGGGATCTGAAGAGCTAAGTCATCCTCAGCTTTCTCTACGCCTTCATTATAAGCAACATCTTCATTCCCTTTAGCCTCGGCCTTGAATTGCTCAAACTCCTTAAGGAGAGTGGAGTAGTCAAGTTGGGACTGAGAGAGCTCCACGTTGATTTCATGCTCGGACTCTTTCAATTTCTCAACATTTGAAGAAAGCCTCTGGTTCTCCTCAATCAGGCTTTGGATTTTAGCCTACAGAACCTTCACTTCTTCATAAAGCTTCGCATACTCCTCATCCACGCTTTCTTTTTTGGCCAAAGCTGAAGCTCGGGCATGGATGACATCCTTCATTGCCTTGTCCTTTCGAGCTATTCGTGCTCCGACCTCATGAACTTTTTGCAAACCCTTGAAGATGCGAAGAAAGAAAAGACTTAGACAAATTTCAAAGGAAAAAAGCTTAAGAGAAGTCAGAGTCAGGACTTACCAAAACCATATGCTGGATTGCCTAACGAGACACTTCATCGTCAGTGAGAGCTTCATTCATTGCCATATCCCTAGGCAAAATCACTCCTCAGGCAACCCCTACTACAACATTAAAATCTTCAATTGCAGAGTCATTGGCAGTGATTTTCCTATTTTTTGCTCTGAGGATTGGTCAGAATGGAGGATTGGAAGGCTCGGCAGGAAAGCTCGCTTCGGACTCAGTAGTCCTTCACCTTTTGGGGGCAGGTCTTCAGTGAGCTCAAAAATTGAATCATCTTCTTGAACAGGGGAAAGGACAGGTTCTGGAGTATCTGTTTCAACACGAATAGAAGTTTCAGCAACTCAGGCCAAATCCATTTAGTCATCCAAATGCAGGCCAGCGTCATTAGAAAGAAGCACCTCGGAAGGACCTCAGCAAATGGTTCGTCAACAACAGTGGAGCAGTTGAGGTAGGTGGAGTCGGTTTGGAGGGAAGAGTCGGCTCAGTTGTTGACAAAAAGTCTAAAAAATTTCTTACAGACCTTCGTCCAGAGGCTACTAGAGGTCTTTTTTTTCCTCGAGTTGTCTTCTCTCAAATAGATTGTATTGCCTCCCGATCTGCTGTTAGCATCGCATTAGGTCGGTTCGGCACAGCAATAAAAGACGTATAGTTCAGTGTGTATTCGAGTAGCGTATGTGCAACACGGCAGAACAGGGACTCGTTGAAATCCCAAACCTTTTGGAGTTAGTCCAACTTAACAGAAGCTTTGGGGATTTTTCCTTGTACCATCTCTCCTACATAATTGATATATCAGATACAAGAAAAGGAAGAACAACAAGTGTTTTTGAGGAAAAATAAGGCTCAAATATCTGGTGCGCCTTCTTCATAGGGTTAGTGATAAGAGGGTGAAGCACCATCAGGGTACTCCCAATTCCCAGAAACGAACACAATGTCATTTTCATGACCTTTGTTCGAATCTGAAAGATGGGTGACCAGATAACGGTTCTTCTTTCTCACCGAAAGATAATAGTTATCTGCAGCAGCTTTGATGATATAGCAATACAGGATATCCCATAAACCTAGACTCAGACCTAAGATTTTGTTTAAAGCAAACACCCCCATGATTATCCTAAAGAAATTGAGGCAGCATTGGAGGGGACAGAGTTTAGCGGCAGAATGAACCCAGAGAAGAAGTGGATCGAGGGGAAAACGGATTCCACCCTCAGTAATGGCTCGAGTGGGGATAAATATTCTCTCTTTGGTCCCAATCAATGGCTCATCTTTCTCTGTAACTTTAACTTCGACGTCGTCTGGAATGTTATACTTGGCTTTGAAAGCAGGAAATTCTGATGGAGTAAGATGAGTCATTGAAGAGGAGATGATGCAAACTTGAGGAAGACGAAACGCAGAAAAAAGAATTGGAGTATGAAAGCAGAAAACAAGGTGAATAAAATGCGAAGAGAGAGAGACAGTTTATGAAGAGGAAGGAATTTCAAAAGGCAATATTTAAATGCCCTGAATAAGTCGCCAAAACAAAGGGGGATGTCACGAGGTACAAGTAATGATGATTTAAAGTAAAGAAAATGGCTGATAGATGAAAATCGACTGTCAGACATTTTTCTGGGGGCAAATGAAGGGGTTAGCCCTCATGATGGCACGTGTTAGAGCATTAAATAAGCACGCGTGAGATTGACAAGACTAGTCATGTGACGAAGAAGTCATTCACCAGGTCACGTGATCCAAGTCGAACTGATCAAAGGATTCGGCAAATAAAGAAAGAGCTCGACACTCTTTATTGCCGAGCTCATGAATCTGGTAGCTTAGCAAGGGAAGTGCTCGGCTTGTACCAAGCCAGGTTCCCTGGAGTATTTGGGAAAGCAATTAAAAAGATTGGTTTGTGCCAAACCAAGTCTCAAACTATTCGGCGAATATCAAAAGCGTTCGGCATTCGATATGTCCGAGCTGTTCAAAACGATAGATGAAAGTATAAAGATACAGCTATAACTTAGGTAATCAGATAAACGAAACAAAGAAATTGTAGATATCAGGAGGAATTATTGAAGAAATATCAGCAACTTCCCAAACTGAATGACTAAATGGAAGGAAGGTGTGCCACCTTGAACCTAAATTCATGGAACCCCTAAGGGAATAATGATTTATAAAAGCCAAAAGGAGTCAAGGTGAAAGGTTTGCTAAATTCTCCTAGACTTGACACAATTCTTTTTGTTCCATTACTGACTTAAGCATCGGAGTGTCTTCGATCGAAACACTTCGATCTTGAGCAGTTTGTTCGTTTGCAGGAAAGAATTGAGGAGATTGTTCAGATTTCATTCTCAGAAACCGTTTCACAAATTCACATAGAAGTATAACCAATTTTTTGCATTAAATACTAAAGTTCTCCCATAAAATTAGGAGATATTTAATTCACCACTTTTCAAAGAACATATACATGGATCAATGGAGGACAAAAATGTCACAAAAAAATTAGGCAAATTCAAATTATGTATTTAGATACAAATAAGTATCAAAATTAAAAATTTAATAACTTTATATTTTTTAGTGTGTATTTTTTATCAAATAAATCTAATTTAGTGTACCCTTACAATTTACCCGTATAAAAACGAATACAAAAGCCCAACATGGTCGGCCCAATTTTATGGGAATCGTCTGTCGAAACCTGAATTGTTATCTATGCATATATATGTGTACGTATGTAGACTGGAGGAATAGACGGAGATAGTTGAAGTGTCGAGAGAGACTTTTCTGTTCTTCAGAGAGAGAGAGAGAGAGAGAGAGAGAGAGAGTTTTAGAGAGAGAAAATGGTAGGTCCTGCACGACAACAGTTCGTCCTGTTTGGATCATCCATAGTGCAGTTCAGCTATAGCGCAGAAGGTTGGGGTGCTATCCTTGCTGACATCTACGCTCGTAAGGTACTATTTTCAATTTCTCAAAATAAAAAAATTATGCTTTATGAGTGTAATATGGTATATGATCATGAAAGTTGTTGATTGCTTTTGAATTTTTTTCATCTGGGCATTCGTTTTCTGTCAAAGATTTCAACTCTACGCATGCCATTTCAACTCTGATTGCTTTCGAATTTTTTTCATCTGGGCATTCGTTTTCTGTCAAAGATTTCAACTCTACGTGTGTCATTTCAACTCTGATTGCAATAACACAGTGGTTCTCTTAGTGGTGGGCTCTACTCTACCTATAGTCTCACTCATAATGTAACCATCCATAACCTTATCATCTTTCTTTCTCTTTTTCTCATTCAAGAGACACAATCTACATATGAGGTGTACAAATTTTATAACCAGAGAAACTGAGAATTCTGTCTTCTTCTTCTTTGGTAATTCGGATGCGATTAAAGTTAACAAATAAAAAGGGCGAAGCCTTCCGTCATTTCGGGGTTTGTAAGGGTCAGATCTGCGCAGTCCTACCTCTATTTGAGGATTAAATTCAAACCAAGACTTGCCCCTTAGAGACAGCATGCAGTAAATACAGAATATAAATTTGTAATAGGTACCAATATTGTGTAAAAGTATTCCCATTGGGAGAATGTGTTTGAATATGTGTGCTTGTGTATGCATGTATTTTGTTAATCACAGCCCTTTTTCAAAGGTACCAAATTAAATTAATGGGACATATGAATATACGGTTGTCAAATATGTTAGTTGTTATATGGTTGGACATATGTTTTTATTCTGGACTATATAGGTGGAAAGTTATAGACTTGGAAGTGAGTGTAATATGGTATATGATCATGAAAGTGGTTGATTGCTTTTGAATTTTTCTCATCTGGTTATACGTTTTCTGTCAAAGATTTCAACTCTACGTGTGTCATTTCAACTTTGATTTCAATAAAACAGTGGTTCTCTTAGTGGTGGGCTCTACATAGTCTCACTCATACTGTAACCTTCCATAACCTTATCATGTTTCTTTCTCTTTTTTCATCCAAGAGATAGAATGTACTAAAGAAGGACGCATTTCATTAGCAGTGGAACTGAGAATTCTGTCTTCTTCTTTGGTAATTCGTGTTCGATTGGAATCAACAAATTGAGCATTAAGTGCAAGAAAGACATGTCCCTTAGATACAGCATGCAATAATTCCAGACTGTAAATCTGTAATATGTACATATAATGTTTGAATATTTGTGCCTGTGTACTTGTGCATAATGTTATTCACAGCCCTTCTTCAAAGATTCCAGATTAAATAATGGGATAGATACCGATTATCGAATATGTATGTTGTTATATGGTTGGACGTATGTTTTTATTCTAAACTACCCAGGAGGAAAGTTTTTTTTTGCAACAAGAGTTTTCATGTCTAATAGCAATAGTGTAAGAATAAAACAATAAAAAATAGTAGTCAAAAGTGTCCACCAGAAGATGCCTTCCCCACTCTCTTGTTAATAGCATCTTAGAATGGTTGGGGTTGGGATGTTTGGCAATCATCAAGAATTTTTTTTTTAAAAACAAGTGCCTCTTGTTGCTGCTTACCGCGGGGATAATGGAGTCATTATGTGAAATCAAAATATGCCTTTCACTGCAGGGGTAAAAATAAGATACTACAAGATCGAGGCAAATGTTATCCATCCCATGGAAATGGTTTTTCTGAGTTGTGCTTCTTGAATGTACTTGACTTCGTTGCCATGCTTTCCTTTGTGTTTTATAAATCTCTGTAAAAAAATTGGTGCCTATAATATGAATAAAATTTTCAACTCATACAGTTTTTATTTTTAGTTGGTAGTTAAGTCGGTGATAAAGATATTGTGTCAAGTTTGCCGACATTTAGGCAGGGAAATATGTGATGATTATGAGTAAGGCAATTGGTCACTAGATCTGATGTTCTGATAAACCTAATTTATCATACACTCTCTTGGTTTTTAGTACAATTTTATTTTGCTCGCTGTTGGCTTAGGCAGACATATTATTGCGAGGATATGCTGGTTGGAACTCAAGGCGCGCTCTCCAAGTTTTGGATCAAATTTTCCCTAAGGTACCGTGTGTTTGTTTTTCTGGTAAAATATGTGAAATCATTGTCTCAACTAATTGGCTCAAGCTTGAGTCCTGGTGGACTTCACATCGATAATCCAAATGTGATTTCATCTATCAGCATTAAAGAGAGACAAAAACTGATAAAATTTCCATCATTCTATGCTGGGCTTTATCATTTCCTCCATTTACTATTTAATACTTTGACTGTGTTGTGTTAATTTGTCTCTTCAAAATAGGATGCAGCTGTGCAGCCTTCTCTGGTGATAGTTTATTTTGGTGGTAATGATGCAGTGCCTCCTCACCCAAGTGGCCTGGGCCCTCATGTACCTCTTCATGAATATACTGAAAATATGAGGAAGATTGCTACTCATCTCAAGGTAAGGCTTCTGTTGAGAGCCAAATTTTGTCACAATGTTGAACTAAAGAAAAACAGGATCCTAACTGATAAAGAGGGCTTTATAAAGAAAGGTACCTCGTAGGACGAGTTTGAATATGGTAGGATTAATAGGTCACTCGTAGAACATGGCTCATTATGGTGAATGTTTATTTGGTCAGTTATCATACTTTGAATCTGCAGCAGTATACCACTAGATCATCTCAAGCACTACCCATGATTGCTCTTAATGTCTTCTTACTGTGATATGCACTTGGTGCCTACTCTAACTCAAATCTGTTCGGTTACCAGAGTCTTTCAGAGAAGACACGTGTAATATTTCTAAGTACTCCTCCTATGAATGAGGCACAAAATTGCCAACTTTTCAGGTGATCTGATGTGAAACTGAAGTTTTTTCTTGTTTCCCTTCCATTCTTGAATTCTAAATACATATATGTGAAATTTTCAACCTCGTAACCAGTGATAATCTAAGTCGCACAAATGAGTCCAGCCGAAAATATTCAGAGGCTTGTATAGAGATGTGCCAGGAGTTAGACGTGAAGGTTATTGATCTTTGGACTGCACTTCAGAAACGTGATGATTGGTTGACTGCTTGCTTTTCGTAAGTGTCCTTTCGTTCCTTACTGCTAGAAATCATTTCTCTTTGCTCTTGGCTCTTTGAGCAATTCTATGTCAGCATTTTTTATGAATACTCTTTAAAAATACTTTTGTTTACCAAAAGGGTGGTTTGTTTGAATTGATACATCATTGGACTAAGTTTGGAGGGATCGGCTTCTCTAAAACCATACAGAGTTCAAATGTTCCAATCATCCAGCTTGGAAAAGATGGTCACGCTATTGTAAGGGTGGTTACACACCCATTAAAGCACCAAGGAATATAATATTGATCAAACTTTTCAACATTTTAGGGAAGACAATATTTGGACAATACAGTGCTTCTCGTAGTGAAAGTTACCAGTCATAACAATTGCTTATAACTATTCAGGGAGTTACCAATGCGACGATGATGTCCCTGACATTGAAGGTTAATCATTCCTTTGATTTAATTTTGTTTTATAACAATGCGTAGTTATAGATTTCAGAGATTCATAGGTTCGGTTTTCTGATCCTGTGTTAAGAAAAGATTTTGGTAGGTCAATGAGCTCATTTTGGAGATTGAAATGATGCTGATAATCTCTATTCTCTGGTAAAATGATATGAATGACAATATTATCTGACTTAACTTGACACATCATTACTCAAGTAAGTAAGAGAGTCAACAAGTCTTTGTTTAGAATTTTTATGTTCCCATCGCGCATGATTTCCTGTATCTTCTCACAAGGCTCATGCAGTTCATAATGCTAGCAGTTAGTTTAGTATTTTCCAGCATTTCAATCTCCATTTTGCATCCTTCTGGTCAATAAATCCCAGAATCCTCTAAGGATTTCCTGTAAGAATATCACACAATAAAAATCTTGGTCGATGACAGCACATTCTGAGAAGGATAGGCACTAATGGATCGCATAGTTTCTGATTGAGGTACTGCCATAAAAGTGCTAATGTTCACTGATGATCAAATATTACACCAACAAACTTTGTTTTAAATGGGCTTTATTGGTCTCTGCCTCACAAGTTGGTTCTGCTTTCTCTCTCTAAATTATGTGATGTTGTATTGATCGCATCTTTTACTTGGTCAACAAATGTGTTGAGATTGGAACCTTTCGTTTGCTTGGCTGATCTCTGTTCCATATGTAGGGATGGCATCCATTTGTCATCTGAGGGGAGCAAGATGGTGGTAAAGGAGATACTGAAGGTCCTCAAAGAGGCTGACTGGGAGCCCAGTCTGCACTGGAAGTCGATGCCAATCGAATTTGCAGAGGCTTCACCATATGATTTTGTTGGTCTTGATGGTAAGACCACTGTAAATGTCTCTGACCTTAACCTTCACTGGCAGATTCAGTGGGACTAGGCGAATCAAGTCTATTATTTCGTACCTTATTTAAGAAATAAAGCCCGCTAGTGCAGATTTCCATCAAGGACTCAAACCCAATAATGTTCTTTTTCTGGCAATATAATGGAACTTGCTGTAGCTCAAAAAATATATTGAAATCCCCTATTGAAGCTTGATGCCTCGGGCAAAACAAGCAGATTGCATTTTCATAGTATTTATAATATAAAACAAGACATATTTCAATAAGTTTATCCGACGGTCTTAAATAAATTCATTTAATAGTCATCAACATTTCTCTTAATACAATTCACCTTGAATTTTTTCCTTCTCTTAAATTTATAACTTCTCATTTACGTTTTACTGTGCCTTCAGGCATAAACTATCCCTTGTTAAACAATTTTCTACAAATAACTTTCACAAGCAAATTTATAGTTGGAAAACCAAGGGTTTCCTCAAAGTATGTACACAAAAAAGTCAACACGGGCAGAATGTTCAAGAAATTTTTGTTCTCATTGATGATACATTCCATAACCGGTAGTTCTATACCAAGCCCCCCAAATGACTAGAGAAAAATACATTAACCAAGCCTCCTTATAACAACCACCACCAAGAAAGAATACACAAAGTGGTGAAACAACCAGAGAGCAGCAACAGCAGTCACAACACCACTTGCACTGGAGTCATCAACTCATCGGTTTATGCCTACTTCTTCAGATAACAACATTAAACAAAGTAGGCCACAATCATTTGAACATCAAATTGCCTCTAATGTAGCTGATAAAACTCGGTATTCTGGAAGATCTAGTCAAGCGCATGTTCTTCGAGACACTAAATGATTCAAGTGGAAAGCTGGAACCTGCCACTAGGCTTTTTTCTTCTCCATCCCTGAAGAATTACAAGATAGAGAAAAATAGGTTTGCATTCAGGCTACTACACAAACAACTATAACAGAAATCAGATGGGAGTAAAACTTACAAAAGCTGCATAATACACAAATGTCAGCCCCGCTAGAACAATAAATGCAATTTGAAAAACATTGTACCTGAAATAAAATAACCATTATTTACAACTGCAAAATAATAAAATCTCAAAATTATAAATCAGAACATGCAAGGAAACAACCATACTAACTTGTACAAATATTTGATTCCGCGAAGAGATTGCAAGGTGTGTCCAAAAATTTCTTGAGCGGAAGTAGCTTGTGCATAGTATGCAAATGCTGTGGCACAGAACTGAATCACGCTGCAAGCACAAAAAAGTCAAAAACCAATAGAGATCACAGCCAAAAAGTGACCAAGACAAAGAATTTATGAACTCCAGATGGTACTATCGTTTATGCTCAACAATATGTGGTGTATACACACTGCACATGCTGGGATGCATTTCCTTGGCGCCCTTTAGTAAACTTCTTCCTTTAACCAACCTGACCTTGGTGAAGTAAAGTGTGGGAGGTTGTACTAGGTAGAAATCCAACTTCGGATATTGTTTGTACAAAGTGACTATCCTCATATGAAACTACGATCCTACGGATGTTGCCCTGAGCATTTACTTTTCTTTAAGTTATCCGCAAATAATTAAAGTGCATATACTGACTGTAAATGGTCTCTTCCATGAAAGAACTTCCAGAATAGTATAAGGCTCCTTGAACTGAAAGAACGGAACTGAAAACCATATGAAAATGGGATCTGACAGTAGTTTATGAATTCTCAAGAAAGCAACATTCCCATTCTTCATCCAATTAAATTGTCATGCCACAATTATACAAACAGTGCTCATATTGACTCAAGCCCAGAAATTGTTCAAGTTCCTAAAAAATTGATGCAGATTCAAGATGCTAACCTGATGGAGCAAAGAAGAATAAGTCCCACATTAAAAAGAAAAGAGTTCATCAAAGTCGCTCCCCACCTGTAAGAATTATTCAATTGTAAAATAAACACCAGAAAACAATGCCCAGCCAGTCACCATTGAAAAACAAAATGGAGGTAAATAACAGAGACACCACAGAAAGCATTACTTCATGGGATGAATTGTAATGAAAAATAGTCTCAAGCCAAGCATCATTGCCCCAGCAATCACTGCAAGCAGAAGGTAGAAGCAGAAGAATGCAAATGCTGCAGTACCCAGAAGACCTGGTGAAGTAGCAAATTCGGGTTTCCCATCAGGACTCATTATTCATCAAGGAGAAGTAAACAAAGAAAATAGGTGAAAAGATTCTCAAAGTACCCCAAATGTCGTCCAACTTAACAAAAACTTCATTTAGGAACGGAGACAGTGGAGGGTCAATCAATAGATAAATGATAATGTGTGCAACCCATGCCACTGAAACAATCAATCTGTCAAAAAGCAAGGGATTCATAGGGTCAAGAACTACTGTCAATAGACAACAGAATGCTAATACACGTAGAGAAGAAGTGGAGAAAACTTCACCGAGTGGCTGAGATACAACAAATAATTAAAAAAAAAAGTATGTATACTAAGAATAAAAAAGGCCATAAAAAATAAACCATATGGTACGTAAAGAGATTGAGATTCATCTGGTATCCACCGACAATCAAAACATTAGAAGTACGCCCGTTAATGGACCAGGTTTTGGTCCGAATCTGTTTAAAGCATTCTAACTGGATTCAAATATGGATAAACGATGATCCAATCCATTATTAATCCGATTTAAAATTTTCGTAATATTTGTGTACAAGTTTATTATATATTTATTTCTGACATGTGTCAGAGTACAAACAAATAAACTATACTTATTTGAATTATTTCTAGAGATTGGAAATAGGTGCCAAAATCAAAATGATTTATCACTCTCATCTCATTTTCCAATTTCTTTCGTTTTCTCTTTCTTTTCTTTCTCTTATTGCCTGTTCGTATTCACAGTTCTCACCAGATGCTCTCTCTCTCTCTCTCTCTCACACACACATATGTCTTTGTGTGTGTTTTGCGCCCTACCTCCATGACCTCTTTCACTGACTGCTTCAACCCCATACCCCTACAGCTTGATCCTTTCATTCTAAACAGATCTGTTTGTGTCTTCCTCACCACGTCATTAGTAAGGGTACAATTTGGGTGGGCTAACCCGAACCCATCCCGAAAAAATCAGTGTTTGGGTTGAGTTTTTTAAAACTTGGGTTGAGCTTGGACTTGGGCCACAAATCCTCAACCCAAATTAAATTCGGACTGGGCTCGAGTTAAGGTTTAGGTTCATGGGTTCAACCTAAGTTCGGACCGAACTACTAAAACTTGGGTTCAACCCAAATTCAGCCTACCATACTAAAATATTTTGAATCTTTATTTAAGCATTAAAAATATACTACACAATAAAATAATGTGTGTCACTCACACTCATCAAGAAGCTTTTATAGCACTAGAGGGAGTGCAAGCTCCCTTGTTGAACTGATGTTTGTGGGATGTTAAATAAAGAACAAAAGATGATTTTTAAGTTAAAATCCCACATCGGTTGAAAACAAAAAGGGTCTCTCCCTCCTCTTGTATATAAAGAAAGCAAACTCCATGTGGCTTGTCAATGAGCTTAGTTTTCTATTGGGCCTATGTGAGTTTAATAAAAGAGTTAAAGGTGTTAACATTTAGGACCACGAATTTAACCCGAAATTTTGAACACCATTTAATAATTTGGGCACAACCCGGGTGCAACTTGAGCTCGAGCGGACACTACTCGGGTTAAGGTGTTTCGGGTTGAGAGATTTATAACTTGGGTTAGGCTTGGATTAGCCTCTTAATCGGCCAGCCCTACTCATTAGAACTTAGAAGACGTTTACTTCGATCTCCATAGCATTATAGGTGACGCTATCCAATTGACTATGTGATTTTAATTCAATCAGACATGAAAAGTAAGATTATCAATAACCCATATGTGAATGGCCTCGAACGATCCTTCAAGGGTCATTTGTTTCTTTGTTTTTACTTACAATTTTTTTGGTTGAAAATTGTGGTTTGTTTGATGAAATTGTACATAAATTGAGTTAAGATTGATGATAAATTTTTTGAAATTGAATGAAATTTAGTCACAATTAATCGAAATTTATCTAAGGTTGAGCCATTGTTTAAGTGGGATCGGATTAGATTTTTTGTATCGGATATCCGGATTTGGATATGGACAGTAAAAATTAAATCTAACAGATATTTGGATCAAATTCGGATCTAAATTTTTTAAACAGATTCGAATTAGGATTAATCAATCGATCTAAGATCCAATCAATTGACGGGCCTAACTAGAAGCCACATTCTTAAAAAGAAAATAGATTAAAAATTCAACATAAAAACTAAATGAATATAGTAACCAGCACTTACCCTAAAATCCCCAACACAAGTTTGGCCAAGTAGCCAAGAACGGTCATAGCCCAAGCAGTCTCAGCCTGAATGAATCAGGCAAAGAAATTAGTAGGGGAGAGAGAGAGAGAGAGAGACAGAATTTTCCTATGGGATGCATGTCACCGAGTAAGTACATGTCAGTCCCAAGACTCCCATTACCTTTTCACCTTGAGGGTACATCTCTTCTAATGCCTTGACATCATCTTCCAGTAGATGCAACTCCTGCATGGTTAAGACATATATAGAAATCAACTAAAAATTGTTAAAGGGAATAAAGTCAACCTACATCTAATAAACAGCAGACTGGTAATATTGGATTACCCTTTACACCATCCCCTCAGCCCCAAAAAAAAATGAGAAAGAAGGCAAAAAAGAAAAAGAAGGAACCTTGACATAAATCCATACCCAAGGTCAGTAAGGAAAGCCCAATATTAACTTAAAGGGATACATAGATGAAAGTTACATAAGGGTCGCATGAAATATCAAAAGTACAATATGCGGGAACTATATGATATTGTAGTATGACCAGTTAAACAATACAACACAAATGAGGAATAGAAAAACCCATTAACTATTAAAAATTGATCCTATGCGGAACAAAATACAATGTAATAGAATTGAGTAGCAGGTGACGAACATCACAGGAGCCCCACATATTAAAAGGAAATGACCAGCATCCATGCATGTTATGCCACCACTCCTCCAATATCCTAACTTGACATACAACACATGTTCATTGGTAAAAGATCCAAATAGATGCCTTAGTAGCTTGGAAGCATAAACAAATATCAATAATATACGGTTCTCAAGTCCAAAACTTCGATACACTTCAACAAGCCCCTTCATGTGTGGGCTTGATTTTGGCCAAACATGTGCAAGTATTCAAATTATCAGGGAGGAGGCAAGATTCAAACTCAGATCCTTCTACTCTAATACCAATGTTAAACTACCATCTCCTCTAAAAGTTTAAGCTCGGAGAGAGGCATCACATATGACATAAGAAGTTATATACTTCAACAACTATGAAGGCCAGGTTATTTCATGTAACCATCATTGTGTATGTTTACATGCAGCTGCTTATCCAAAAACAAATGTCTTAAAATAAATAGATTTTCTGCTGAGACATGATATTGACCTTTCAATTCTTTAATACTAAATATTTAAAACTTTTTTCTAATAAGTATTCTTAAAAATAAGAAGCTTGTAGCAGTTTCAGCACACATACCAAATATATTCACCCTAGGAACATTGCACCAGCAAATAAATCAAATCCAGGACACACCATTAAACTTATCAACCAAAATTAAAATGGACCTTTTCTACTGTCTTGACATTTTTGCGCCATTTTCTTCCCTTGCTCCCACTCCTTTCTTCCTGATGGAGTGCATCAGCTGCTTTCTTTAATTCTCTCGCTTTTTTACCAAGTTCGGTTGCCTCCTATAAGATATATAAGTGTGCCATCCATATGCAGCTTAAGAACATAAGTTGTTAAAAGGTAATATCCTATATATTTGTGATACCCAAATTTCATAAGTACCTTGATATACTGTGAACGAGTGATAACAGCCTTTGGACGCCTAATGAATGAAAATACAAGTCCCAATGGCAGACAAGCAATGCCAACACCGCCAAATATCTGGATGGTACAATGGGAAGGTAGCTCTTAAGTGTAATATTATGGTATAAGAACAAATAATTATAGCTGAACTCCTTATCCAATAGACAGATCTTTTAGTCGTTGTGAAACATGATGGAACTATACTCATATCCTTTCCATCAAAAAATACATACTCTAATGTGTTAGGATAAGACAAATCCCTGATGTGGTCAATAATCTTTTTTTTTTTTCCTGATACGTATGGTTCAACATCTGTTTTATTTCTATTCACCATCAAAAGTAGTTTGACATCACTATGCACAACATCTTTTAAATGTGCAAGAAATAACGTACAGAGAAAAGTACAGATCCGACGATTGTAGCCAATGCAACAACATATTCCGGGAATGTAGTGAGCATTGTCCATGTTGTCTCTGATGAAGCACTAGCCAAATATGCAGAACACTATACAAGGGAAAAGAATAAAAGAAATTTTAAGTACAAGCAACAACAGTTCACCTTAAGAAGATTGCTTTTTGGAATAATAAAATGCTAAGCAAAACCTCAAGCAAGTGAAACAAAAGAATAGAATACTTGAATTTGATAATCTTATTTGTCAATCAACCTGGTGTGAGCCGCTACCACCGATACATTGTTGACTGCTAGAGAAGCCCCATGTACTAGGGAAGGGAGTAGTGGCCGACGAGAGGTGTCTAACAGTGAAATCCACCTTTCCAACAAGTCCTAATACCATCATAGAGGGAAAAATGAGTGATTATCAAACCAAGAGTCTTGAAATTGTAAATGATTATCGAGCGGAAATTTTTTTTTAAAAAGTTGCCTCCAAGAATCTTCCCTTCCTAGTTTAAGAAAATGGCGCACAAGAGCCTGGCAAGAGCAATACTATACTAGCACAATCAAATTAACATCTCTAACTTGGTCAGCCCATATGATAAACAACAGAAATTATGGGAAAGTGCATCCAATACGACCACATTTTTCCTAACATTTCAATATAGTTCGCCAAACCTTTTACTCAATTATTGCATTTGCACTATGAAGTATAAACACACATTTCATAGAACATTTCCACAGCATATGTCTACTAAAAGCATAAATTAATTTGAAAACTCACCATAGAGAATGCCGAGTAATAGAGCACAAACAATAGCTGTAGTTATCACCCACAATAATGCGCTTTTGATCCGTTTTCCAATACTCCTGCATATGAATGTTTCTCCACAATGAACATAATTAACATAAAGTATAATCAAATTCAAAAAATTGAGTAAAAATGAACGGACTTATCCTGGTCGCCTTCGTAGTAGAACATAGCAAAAGGAATAACGAAGAAGACGAGAACAGCATCGAGAATGTAGATAGCGAGCCAGAGATCCTTCATCGGGAGAGTAAGATTACACGCCCCGTTGTAAATCGCGTGACGACAGGCCTGCCGATTGGCGATATCTGCCGGCAACATGAGAATGGATATTGCGGCAACGGAGAGACCCAGAACGACGACGAATTTGGGGAAATAAGCCTGGTTGGCGTCGTCGGGGTGTTGGTAGTTGATAAGGAGGTAGACATTGAATATGAAGACCAGTATGCAGACGATAATGGCGACGATCACGAGGGCTAGGTTGAAATCCCCCATTGTTGAGAGATGTCTCTCTCGATTCGAATTGATTCTGATCGATTGAATTGCAAAATTAGGGTGCTGTACGCGTTTCTGGTCCGAATTTGAACCCGGCTTTAAAGTTCCGGGTGTGGGAGGTTTTTTTCAGAAACATACTCACAAAGGGAGGTGTTCTGGCACTGTCTCTGTCCAATGGCGGTTTGTTTGTGTGGAGCTGTGAGTGGACGATATTATGTTTTTGCCCTTAAGAATTTTCGTTATTTACTGAGAAGAGATGGTTGTTTAAATGGGATACCAATATATCATTAAGGAAGGAGATTCTAAGGGCACGATTCAGCTCATACGAAAGTAAGAAGGCGGCCTACAGTGAGAGGACATTTCTTGGATCATATTCATATTTGTATGTCAAAATTTATTTCTTTTGATGTAGCTTGGATCTGTAGATCTGGAAAACAATGTAGCTCATACTTTAGCTAGGATAGTTGCCGATGTTGTGGATTGTACTAAATGGATGGGGTTGTTCCAAATTTTCTATCGGTTCCTCTCGATAATGTTTCATAATATATTAAAGTATTAGTTATTGTCTGTGATTGAAGACATAGAATTATAAAAAAAATAGTTAATAATAAATATATTTGTATTCACATTTACAATTAAATTACAAATATAGAAAAAAGAGAAAAGAATTTAAACACTGGTTATAGTGGAGGTGAACAATAGTAGTGGTGGTGTGGTGGCGATAGTGGCGGTGGTGGGGTGGCGATGGCGGTAGTGGTGATGGTCGTGAGGGGGTGGTGGTGAGACGATAGGGGTAAGGGTGGTAGGGGTGATGGTTGGACAGTGACAATGGTGGTAGGGTGGTGCCAGTAGTAATGACGATGATGGTGATAATAGAGGGGTAGTGGTGATAGTGATGGTTGTTGTGGCAGAGGTAGTGGTGAGGTGGTAGAATAGTGGCGGTGATGGTGGTGGTGGGGGTGGGGTGGCGACAGTGGTAATGACAGGGGGTGGTATTATGACGCCCCTATAACCGAGGGTTCTTTGTCAATCGTTGACCACCCGTTAACCCGCGGAAATACTCTTGATTGTCGCCCGATCCGGCATCACGTCATTAGAATCCCTTTAACTGGGATTGTTACCCACACGTATAACACGTGCATAAATTGTCATTTGACCCACCCGGGTCCAATATACCACAATTTATTCTTATTTTATGTCCATTTATATCGTTGGAACCAAAGAACTCAAAACCCAAAAGCATGACAAAACAATTTTATAATTTCAAAATTTCAGAAGACTTACCGGTAGGTTTTGCCCATTGGAAAAGTCCTACCGGTAGATTTTGACTAATAAACAAATTCTTCCTGTAAGATATCCTACCGGTAGGTTCTGTCTAGTTTTACCTGTTTGACCTGTTTTTCATTTCCAATCCATTTCAAAACATATTAACTACATCCAACACATGTATACGAAGATTTTCATATTAAATAAGATTTATAACAACTCTTTTACATTCATTTCAATGAATTTACATATCAAAAACAAAGTTTCATAAATATTTACAATATTCAAAATAAAGCCACATTTCAGCTTTCTTCATCTTTGAGGTCCCATGTGAGAGTCTTCTTTCGGCGTGTGTCCCGCATCTGAAATATTTTCTCGCATAGAGTGAGTCACACCCAGTAGAGTATTTTCTACAGAGACTACTCCTCAGCCTAAATGCACATGAATGCACATATGTAACATTTAACAACAACAATCATTCCAATCAAGATCAAACAAGTCTATGTTGGAATCGAATAAGTCATGCCATGATATGAGATAACACCCACTCATGTGACTCAACCCGAGCTCTCCCTGGCTCCTTTCACCCATGCAATACTATGAGTATAAAACCTGGCTTTCCAAGCCCCCGTCATTGGCGTTACACACCCAATGACTATTTTTAAAATAAATCTCTGGGTCTTTCTTGGGGGTGGGTATTTATGAATTTACACCAACAGTACCCAACCGACACGGAATTTATGGACTTTCACTAACGGTTCTACATACACCGATACACTTTATGGATTCTTATACCAATGGAGTGCGTATCCGAATCACCGGGTCACTCACCCGAGGGATAGTCTAACCCTTCTTGCTAACCCCGACCCAATTTTCATGCAATCGTGCGACTCAATCTGATGTTCAATCCAAATTTTCTGAGTCCACACATCAACCACCTAGTATGGTGTTTGATCAAACCATGTACACACCCACACCCACACCCACAGCCAAGTCTCATGCCCATGGATGTGATGCCTCCGTACAAATGCAATGTAATGCACCATTGTTATATACATGTCATTCCCCATATGTAATGAATGTCATATGAGCACATTTAACCACATATATACATATTCTATGACAATTCATATCTCATTTATATAATCATCATTTTATTTACACAATTTTTAAACATGTTATCACATCATCATGCAATTAACACACTAAACTCGTCAAGGCAATAACGTAAACGCATAACATGCTCATAAATCACATTTTTCATAGAATTACACAAGTAATTATCACATATCAATCCCAAGTTAGAAATTCATTTTAAACCATTTCTATACCCATTTTCATCAATTTCACAACAATAGGCAAATGATATCTATTTCTATCAACCTACCCATTTTATATTATGCCCTAGGTTAGAAAATAAACCCGAGTAGGAGGGAACCCTATCTTTTGAAGCGTGAAATCTACTTAGAAATCCTCAAGAACCAAAACAAGCTTGAATCTTCACTTTCCCCAAAATCCCGTCCTTGAAATCTCACCAAAACTTGACCTCCTTGCTATGGCTTTGTAGCACTCGGCGAGTAGAACAACTTTTTTTCTTGGCCCGAACAAATTTGAGCAACCGATTCTTGTTGATCGTAGAGAGAAATGATGAAGCTCTCTCATTTCCCTCTCTTCTTCTCTACCGAGTGAACGACTGATGAATAAGGGGAGAAATCAAAATTTTCTCCTATTTATACCCCTTATTTACTTGGCCCACAACGCGTCACACGACCCTCTTTTTTTCAGGTCCGTTTTCGCCTTGAAACGATTAAATTTCGTCCCGGTTTAAGTTTAAAATATTTTTATTTTAACTTGCCTCAAAATATTTTTCAATTTCTAAAATTTTTATTAAAATCTCGTTTTTTGGGTCACCAGAGACTCGACTGCCTCGTAAAACGCAAAAACCCGACTATCTTGAAATTCAACGAAAATTGATAGGTAGCTAGATTTCGTAAGACGATTCCAACGATAAAGTCCGTTTTGTCATCCAAGTTCTAAAAAATTTCAGGTTTACAACTCGTATCGTAGTAACAAATTACCGTTTTACCCATTTTGTAAAAAGTTCAAATTTACCTAGATTTTACAAGTATGGTGACGATAACAGTGGCGGTGGTAATGGGTGGGGGGTGGTGGGGTGGCGACGGGTGGAGGTGGTAGTGGTGATGATGGTAAGGGGTAATCTGGTGGTGGGGTGGGGTGGCGGTGGTGGTGGTAATGGTGACGGTGGTAAGACGATGGGGGTAATGGTGGTAGTGGTGGTGATGGTGGGGTGGTTCCAAACACTACTTTTTTTAAAGTATTTATGAGAATTTATAAGTATTAAAAGCACTTTTAAAAAGTAATCCTAAACACCCTTAGGGTCTATTTTTTCAATTAAATTTGGAGTGTTAATATTAGTCGTCGGATTAATTTTAAAGTAAAATTGAAAGAGATCTCAACCGCGAATAGTAATGTTATTTTGTTTATCTTTTGAGATTTAAATTGTATTATACTTTATTATATAGATTATCGTTTCGTATAAAAAAAAATGTAAAGGCTAATTAATAAACAACTAAATAATGAGATGACATATTTGTCCCAAATTACGGTCACTTTTGCTTTGATTTTGTTCTCTCTCATGGTGTTTAATCAGGGGAATCAAAAGATTTGTTGAGGTGAAGGTAATGATATGTTATAAATATAGACTTAATGAGTTTGAATATTAACAATTTTTTTGGCCTAGGTTTTGAAAGATTTAATTCTTATGAATATTCTAATCTCGGCGTAAATGATCTATCTTTGACTAAATCGTGAAAAAGATTAATCGAAATGCATGTAAGTTAGTCCGAACACTCCAAATAGTTGAACAAAAAAAAGAAAGGTATGATCGTGGCAACTATAGTCTTATTTGCGTCCTTGTGTCATATGTTTGTAAATAGATAAGGGAATTTTTAGATAATTTATTTCTCTTTTTTATCCTTCAAATACGGAATATTGGTCGTCAATAACTAATTTATAAGAATTTTGTAAAAGGAATATCAATTTCATCAAAAAAAAAATCATGCTCAAACGAACCTACGCCAAGAGTAAATACTCAATGTAAATGTAATAGTGGCACAATGTTTTAACGTGATGTTACTGTTATACTAACATTTACTCGACCATATAGGTATTTGTATAACAATAACCAAACATTAGGGCTCACAATATTATTTTGGGTAAATTATATCATATCTATTGAAATTTGTCACTTAATCTAGATCCCTCATATTTGAAAAATTACATTAAAATATCTTGAAGTTTGTGTGCATGTAACATATTGTACCCTTGTCATCAAAATTTGTACCCTTGTCACAAGATTCGTTAAACATGTCGTTACAATTTGATGACATCAACATACCTTTTATATGAAATTCTTAAATTACCTTATCACCATTTCAATAAAAATCCTATAAAAAGTAGTTTTTAATTTTCACTTAAACCCCAAAATATAATTAATTCTTTCAATAAATAAACTCTCTTTCTCCAATTCCAATCTCATCACTGCTACCACAGCCCGCCCACCCTCGCCATCCCCCAACCCATTTAAGCCCTTACCTACCACCACACCCTGCAGATTCCCTACCCCCACCCCCACCTTGCAAAATACCCAAAGCCCAACCTACCCATAAAAACAACCACCCACTCCATCCAAAACCATAGCAAAGGCTACGAAGTGTCAAAGATTCTACTGGAGTGCACGAGTGATTTATTGCAATGTTTTGAGATAACGATCCACTGGATGGTGAACCTGAAACAATCAAAGGATTAGAAAAGGGGTTAGGTGAACACCCGGCTAATTCCCTCCGAAGCCCAAGTCAACCAGTGTTGGAAACATTAGCACAATGAA